TAATGTCAAATTCTTGCTTTTAATAATTTATATACTTATTTTACAGACTTTAAAGACTTTTACAGACTTTAATATACTTTATTTTACAGATTTTAAATAATATATCCGAATAGTTAATATATAATAATAATCATTTTCTAACACAAAAATAATTTGTTAAAAATAAAATTATAATATAAAATTATAATATATTAACTTTTTGCAGGATATTCCAAGTACTGGAGTGGATCAATGGTATAAACTAGAAGCGCGGACACAAAGGAGCAACATTCAAGGTAGAATCAGACTGAAATTATGGCTGTCAACAAGAGAGGACCACGGAACATCCGAGGAAGATAATTGGGGCGAGTTGAGGCAACAGGAAAGGCTGTACACAATTTTCCTTAATCACGAAATGAACAAACAAGGGGTACGCAGAACCGTCTAACAAAAACCTGTGTCAAATCCAATGCAGGGAAGATTTTCATAATATACTGAATACAATAGTCATATAAAATTCCTCTCCATGTAGTTTACTATGTATTTACACATTTATTAAACAAAAATGTGTTTCATGTTATACGGTACATGATATCATAAAATTTCAAACAATTGTTGTAAAAAAGATTCTGAAAGAAATGATAAATGAATAAATAGAATAGATAAATAGATATATAAGAAAAAAATAGAAAATTTTGCGAATATATACTTTAACAATATTCTCAAAACATTGAATTATAAATACATGTGCGTAAAAATTATGAATTGTTGTAAAACATTGATCTCTTTAGAAATCACTAATCAGGCATGTCTTTAAACGTATATTATATTTTTCAGGAAGATTTTATTGGAGAATTGCCACAAACCGCTTTGACAATCTTACATCAACATGCGGTACAAGGTGATGTCACAGAGTTGCAGCAAGCTTTGATAAGATGGGTAGCAAGTTCCCGGCAGCCCGCCGTCGATCCACGAATGCTTCATCGTCTTCTGCAGGTAACTTGAGTCACCGAAGCAACTTGCATCTTGCCGTCTTACAATATTACATTAATGTAACTATTAAATAACAACTATAAACTTGGACTATTTCTCAAACTTAGGAACTTGACAATCGATGGCATACTGAAACATTGTCGCGCGACGCAGAACAGTGTCTTACGGATTCCTTCAATAATTTTTTGGCAGTATCTCTGAAAAAAATTGGACAACATAGAGTACTATATCCGCCTCTGTATAGGCCGACTATATCAAAATTGGATTATCTGCTCAGGTAATTTATTTATCTTTATAATAAAAAATACTGTGTAAACATTAAGTAATTGTAACATTAAAAGTCTAATAAATTAAAATTATAAAGCAAAATATGAAAAATAATTTTTATTTATTTCTATATATTGTGAAAATTATATGGTAATTATATGGAAATTATTATTATTATAGATGCTTGGGACTTCTCTCAAATATGAAGGCTTTCCGAACCTGTTGCCCTTTTAACAAAGAAATTCGAGGCGAGATCATTACATATCTTAGAAAAGGAACTCTTGAATGGTACATAGATTCTTTGTAATAAATCGACAAAATATCTTTTTTAAATGTAGTATATTTTTTTTTCACAAACACTTTTCTTTAAAAAATTAATCATATTTGAATCCTAAGATAATCGTGTAACGAAAAAATAGTAATTAGAAAGAAGAATCAAAACATAATATAAGTATTATAACGGTCATCTAAGCTTGATTTTAACTTTACAGGTATGAAGATGTAAGACAACAAACAATGTGTCACGATCAAGAACCAGATCAGGACATTGATCGAGTTTTGCAAGATTTCACGAACTTAGTAACTGTATTATTAGTTGATTTGGAGCAGGGGCTTCTATATTATAACAGTCTCTTTGAAAGGTAAACTTTTCTCAAATCTGCTTTGAAAGATAATACAAAAATAAATAGGGAAAGATATACTTATAAAATAATATATAATATAAAGAATTTTTTCTATAGATAAAAGGTAATAAGTCGCTAGATTATTTTTTATTCATAGATTATATTTTTAATAATGTCTTCAAAACTAAAAATGCTATTCCAAAAATTTAGAGATTGCAATATTTATGAAAACTATAATTATTTTGACATAACAAAAAATTTTTTTAAACGGAACAAAATTAAATTTATGCAAATTAAATTTATGTTTCAGCACGAATGGTGTGCCATATTTTTCTGCAGTTTACAAGCAACTGGAAAAACTGGTAAGAGTGCAAGTGACAGGTTTCTTTTGTGAACAAACTATTAAAAATATACTTATATATGAATAGATTTTTCACTTGTAATTTTGCAACAATATCGCGTCAACGACACACTGTCACATAACACATCATTATTTTTTATTCACTGTGTCGTCAAGCTGGATGTGCTATGTTTGGCTTAAACGCTTTATTCGAGACGTCGATCGTGCCTGCGAACAAAAAAATTTTATGAAAAAAAAATTTAATGTTTTTTTTTAAAACTTCAAATTTAAGAATAAAATTATTGATTAAATTATATTTAAAAGAAATTCAAAAATTTCAATTGAATTTCGGATTCTAAACTACTATATTTGATTTGATAGAATATCAGAGTTATCTAAAAATAAATTCGGTCGACGTCCTTGCATTGAAATGACAATAGATATTAATGTTTATATATAGAGTGTCCCAAATTTATAATATTGCTTCATGATAATATGAATGGCGATTAAAGATTAAGTGTGTGTTACAATATCGTATTGTACAAGTAACGAGCACAATTGAAGAGAAATAAAAGTAAGTTATAAATTAATTATAATTATGGTAAGGTCTCTTGCATCTCGGACACGCTGTAAATAAACAAGTCGCAGTGACCTGAAGGGGCCAGGTTGAGAAAAAGCGTGACGACGAATTATAAATGTCCATCAGGTCAGCGCGATTTTACTGTACACGAGATGTTTGTCCATAGCTGGCGGAACACGTGGCGAAACACATGGAGAACACTTCCGAGGTACTTTTTTTATCGCCACCACAAAATATTAAACTTTCTTTCTCTTTCTCTTCTATTTAATCTCTCTTTTTTACTCTTTTATCTAGTTCTCTCTCTTTCTCTTTCTCTCTGTTTCTATTATTTCAAATTTCCTGCAACTAAAACTGTTGAAATCGTTACATTTTTATCTGCATACTATTAAAAATTATAAATTATCGTTTATTAATATAATAATAA